GTTCGCTCTATGATGAGTCGTGCTTCACTACCTATCTTCTTTTGGGGGTATGCCTTAGAGACTGCCGCCCATATCCTTAACCGAGTCCCTACCAAGAAGGTTGCCAAAACACCTCACGAGATGTGGACGGGGAAAGTTCCCTCGTTGGCACATATCAAGGTTTGGGGTTGCGAGGCTTTCGTAAGACGAGATACTCACGACAAGCTTGAACCTCGAAGTGAGCGATGTATTTTCATCGGCTACCCGCAAACTTCCTTTGGATATCTCTTCTATAGACCGAAAGATAATGTTATCTTTGTTGCGAGGAGAGGAGTTTTCCGAGAGCGAGAACTCATAAGCCAAGGAGACAGTGGGAGGCAAATCGAACTTGAAGAGATTCAAGAATCGATAGATGAAGGAACCTCTACCGCTGGCGTTCAACCCGAGGAGGAAACTCCGGTTGAACCGATTGACGAATCCTTACCTCTTAGACGTTCCGATAGATTAGAGTTCAACCCCAGTTTTATGGTTTTCATATTACTACCGAAGGGGACACGTATATTAGTGATGGTACACTAATAAATCTTGATGAACCTAATAGCTATAAGGAAGCCATGGCAGGCCCGGAGTCTGCGAAATGGAAAGAGGCGATGGATAGCGAGATCCAATCCATGTACGATAACCAAGTTTGGAATTTGGTTGATTACGTGCCCGAACGTAAGACCGTAGGGTGCAAGTGGATCTTCAAGAAGAAGACCGACGTGGATGGGAACGTACACACATACAAAGCGCGATTGGTTGCGAAGGGCTTTACTCAAACTCCCGGAGTTGACTATGATGAGACCTTCTCGCCAGTTGCGAAGATTAAATCTATTAGAGTGATGCTAGCAATTGCCGCATTTCATGATTATGAGATTTGGCAAATGGATGTCAAGACCGCTTTCCTTAACGGAAAGTTGGCTGAGGATGTTTACATGGCTCAGCCAGAGGGGTTTGTGGATCCGAAGCATCCGAATAGAGTGTGTAAGCTTGAGAAGTCCATTTATGGACTTAAGCAAGCGTCTCGCAGATGGAATCTTTGCTTCGATGAGAAAGTCAAAGAGTTTGGATTTGTACGAAGCGAAGACGAATCTTGTGTATATGTCAAAGCCAGTGGGAGTGTAGTAAGCTTCCTCGTTCTATATGTCGATGACATATTACTCATAGGAAACGACATCCCGACTCTGCAGGAGGTTAAGTCCTGGCTCGGGAAGTGCTTCGCTATGAAGGACCTCGGAGAGGCTTCTTACATTTGGGAATAAGGATAGTAAGAGAAAGAAGTAAGAGACTAATTGGACTTAGTCAGAATACTTACTTGGAGAAGGTACTAAAACGTTTTAGTATGGAAAACTCAAAGAAGGGAGAACTACCGATACAAGGAAATGCCAAGTTGAGTAAGACTCAAAGTCCGAGTACCGAAGCCGAGATAGCAGAAATGAGCCGAGTACCATACGCTTCCGCAGTTGGCTCAATCATGTACGCTATGACTTGTACTCGCCCTGATGTAGCCTTCGCTTTGAGCATGGTTAGCAGATATCAAGGGAACCCTGGCAAAGCACATTGGATTGCGGTGAAGAACATCCTTAAGTACCTTCGGAGAACGAAAGAATGGTTCTTAGTCCTTGGAGGGAGTGATGACTTGAAGGTGCGAGGGTATAGTGACGCCAGCTTTCAAACCGACAGGGACAACTACGTTCGCAGTCGGGCTGGGTCTTTACCCTAAATGGAGGAGCAGTGACATGGAAAAGTTCCAAGCAGGAAACCGTAGCTGATTCAACGTGCGAATCAGAGTACATCGCAGCGAGCGAAGCGTCGAAGGAGGCAATATGGCTGAAGAACTTCATCGGTGATCTTGGAGTTGTACCGGCCATAAAGGAGCCCATGGAGATTTTCTGTGATAACGAAGGTGCGGTTGCCTTGACCAAGGAACCGAGGGATCATGGTAGATCTCGACATATCGACAGAAAATATCACTTCATTAGACATCGTGTAGAAGAAGGACAACTCGTAGTGAAGAGGATATCATCAGAAGATAACCCAGCAGATCCGCTTACGAAGGGACTGAGTAGGGTTAAGCACTTACAGCATGCTAGGAGTATTGGGCTGAAGGATGATATTAGCATAGATTAGATTGTATTAGAAACGTATAATAGATAAATGTAATTAACATTTGATGATTAAATAAAGAAGTTTTATTTATGAGTAAAGTTACTATCACATGTTAGTTGTTTAACTATTGTTTCACTTTGCATGTTTTGACTTCCAGAATAATTGAGTTTATTAGGAATAATCGAATTATTCAAATGGTCCACAATCGTTCATATGTTGGGAGTAGATATGAATGAAGATTGTCGTGAATTGGTGTGTAGAGTGTCTAAATGGTGTTAGACATAGCAAGAGTTGCTGCAACGTTCATGAGTGCTTACGAACTGGTTTTGAGCATTGGAATAAACCCGCGCTTGCTGGAATCACCTTATGGAATACGATATAAAAGGTGATCGCAAGACGATAATATCATATGGTCTTAAAACCTAGATATATGGTTTATTATTTGTTAATTGATTGTGCATTGATAATGCGAAAACGCATCAGTAACTTGATGTTATAAAACGCATTGTTGTGTATAGTTGGTTAATGAATAAGTAAATGCATATAAGTCGAAGTTTATCTGTAAATTTTATCCTAAGAGGGTAGAAGAGATATCTTGGCCACTCGATGATTTGATTTGACTTATGTGCCGGGCCCGGTCAGAACTGAATTGATGTGTTCGATTAAGTTCTATGTCAAATAAATCGAAGATCGAGAAATCTAAATGCTAGACTAACCATTCCATAGGATTGTCAGCATGATATCTAACAGAGGACTGTACGATCCCTTATCTAAAGGACAAGATTGATTAGATCAGAGTTGACAGCGTCTTTGAGAGCTACGATTGCAAACCGTATTATACTTGTATAGTTACTAGACTTATCCAAGTGGGAGACTGTTGGAATAGTGTCTAAGGCTATAACTATATTCGGTGGTGCATGGTCCTTTTGGGTTGCCTTCACCATAGCAACTTGAAGGATGATTTGTTAAGAGAGAGTAAATATTATAAGGAATAATATTTAGCTATTTGATTAATATAAGTCATAAATTAATTGGTATTAATTTGGTGACTTAAAGAGATTAATTAAATAAGAGGGTATAAACTGTCAATTGTTTGATAGTTAGACTTTAGACTATAAATCCATTAGGATGGACTTTGGACGGTTTCTAAGAGCTTTAGGATAGCTCAAAATAGTCCATAAGGATATCTATGGAATGGATTTGGATAGCCTTAAGTGAAGATTATCCAATTAGGGTTTAGGGTGAAACCCTTAAGGAGTCTAAAGGTATAAATAGGCCCTTGGGGTGTGGAATTCGTGAACAAGCTTTCAGAACCTAAAGAAAGGAATCTCTGGCCGAATTTCATCCCCTCTCCTCTCTCCTAAATCATCTTGCTTGCTATTGGTGTTTGTGAACCATCAGAGGAGTGACAATTGTGACTCTAGAAGCTCCAAGACAAGAAGATCAACAAGGAACTCAAAGGTATGATTCTAGATCTGTATTAATGTTATTGTTTAACCTAATTAGCCATTAGAAGTCTTGGATTCAAAAGCATGTTTGATAGAAAGCCTAGATCCAAGCAATAGGGTTTTGCATGCGCACATAGGAAAGTTCTTATGGCTAAAACCCAACAGATATATCTAGAGGTGTAAACGTTGAGCTTTATCCAACTCGGAAGGCATGTTAGGCTGGGTTTTACCCATTATTTGCTTTTGTAAAGTGCAAAAACAACTAATAATTCACATGATACAGAAGTATGGTAGTAATACTAATCAGTGTTACATGAACCAGAAGCAGTTTGATTTCATCAATGGGGGCACAAAGAATGGGCAGCCAGATGATGCCTACTCCTGGATTTAATAATAGTAATACTAATCAGTCTTACATGAAAACAGATATGTCCAACAATGGTATCTCATCCACTGAACCAGAAGCAGCAAGTTGGTGGCTAGAACAGTCACATATTACATAGCCTTGGGAGCCATATGGGTGGGGGAATCAGGCCTAGTTTACAACAGAAAGGTTATGGCTTTTCAAATGGCTCAATAAACAACGGATTAGAATGATGCCCAATAATTCACCTATGATGAATGCTTCAGGAACCTCAGAAAGCTATGTGACACCTTCTCATTATGGGAACATGAATGTCCATCAACAACAGATGTCACATGGTACTCTCTCTCTCTCTCTCTCTCTCTCTCTCTGCTTTTGTCACTGTAGTATCCTCTTTAATGTTGATGGGTACTTAATACGTATACTTTGCAGGTGATGGTTATGGGAGTAGCACCACTGATTCTTCTTGAACCGGAAACTTTTATGTTCCCACAACCTCAAATACATCAATGATAAATAATCAAAGTTCCTCTCAAAGTTCCTGCATCAGGTTATTCCTGTAGAAAGGAAATTGTTAAAGGAGAACTTTTTAATTTTTTTAAAAATATATTAAAAAGTTTGGCGTGTTACATGTTTGTGTAGTGCATTTTTCACAAGTCAAAAGAATGCAAAGAGTGGCATAAAATATTAATGGATTGAAATAATGTTGATGGGGCGGATAGTGCTAAAGATTCAGGGAGCTCTCAGCCTTATCCCTTTACTTTACTCGGCATTCCAGAGGCAATATTCAGTTTCTTTTCTTTTTTTGATATACAATATACATGTTAATATATATGTATGAGTATGATTGTTGGTTTTTGTATGTTGATACAGGGCAGTGCAAGAAAACAATTTCAACGGTTGTAGGGACCAATCGAAGAGTCTAAATAAATGATTATTCTTGGTATGTATTTGCATTTTTGGTGATTCAAGCAAGTTTTTGATGTACCTGAGACCTGTAAATCATCCTTCTAAGTGTAAAAATTACTAGAGTGTATGTAAACTCATAATTTGTTGTATTTTCAGATTTTTGCAAACTGTCTTGATACATCTAAACTGGATGATGGTGATGAAACTAAACTCAGGGTGTTAGGGAACAGTTCTGAATGCAATAACAATTGCATCCAGATCATCTGCAACCCCAACAAAGGCCTGAAGACAGTTCTCAACATCAATAATCAGCTCTAATACTTCAAAACCATGATTCAAGATAACAACAAAATCAACATAATTTGAAAATTACTATTTTTCAGTTTTCATATAAACTGTGCCAAGTACCGTGGTAAGGCCATCACATCTTGAACAAGTCCAAGTAAAAATGTTAAATCTGACATGTAAACCTACATATTTTATTATTAATTCTTCTACTTAACTTAATTACTCCATAATGTCTCACGGTATCATGTTCATCTTACCGCAGAAGCAAATTCCACCAGAATTGTGGCGAGTGTGTGATTGTAAAGTGGTGAGGGAACCTTATACTTGATTTCAAGTCCTGTGTCCATAAAACGACCTTAATAAATAAGTAAATGCATGGTACTTTCTCAGCAAAAAGAAACCCAACACAGATATGTAGACATCTACAGATCAAAAAAAAAAAAATCTAAATACATAATCAATGGTGGTTGCTCTTATGTTATCGACTCTCATTCCCCAATATCCAATTGAATAAAGTTTTAACCCAACTGTACTCAAAAAGGATAGAAGCATGGAAAAGAATAATAAATGGTGGTTACAGAAAGTCTTCGTACTGTCACGTACATGTGGAACGATGCTGCCACAGGTGATGGTGGCAACAATGGGACATTCTTCAGAGTTGTTTCAAAGGTAAGTCTGCAAAGAAATTTAAAAAATAAATAAATTGTGGGTTTCAAAATTATTATGATTCAGATCATATAATAACTGAATACAAACTTTAGCTTGTGGAAGTACAAATCCCATTCTTCAAGCTTTGATGGTGACAATCTCCAATCATATGGAACAGCAAGAATAGCATTTGCCTCAATCCCAAATTCAATGCACCATTCTTTCCATACTGATGAAAGAGAACCTGATAATCAAGAATTCACTTTCAGGGACTATATGTTACAACTTACATATAGTGTATAAGTGTGTGTGTTTATGTATATACATATAGTTCAGAGATGAAAAGAATGTTACATGTTATATAACCTCGGTCAAGTTCTATGATAGCTGAAAGGCCACTATCTGGACGTGACTTACACTCTGGATGATCTGTTTGATTGTAAGGATCAAGCATCATGCATTTAAGCCAGCAATTCATTATAGAAAGACACTGCATGGTAGATTGTAGCCTTCTTCTATCATCCACCAAACAGTATTTGATAGAAAATGTGAAATGTAGCTTTACTTCTACTATACCATATATAAACAAAAGACCAGAAATGAATCACATTTTATTTGGAATAACATCCAATGTGGAAATATGTCTTTTCAAGTTGTTACACAATCTGGTAGTACTTTTTAAACTTATAAGTTATAATCTACCATATCTTTTTCCTAAGAATATATACTCATCATATATGATATCTCTAGGATCATCACTTATATGTTTAAAAAAGGAGTCACACTTTGGTTTTCCAGGTCAAAGCTAATGCATTTCACCTGTGTTTAAACTAATTATTGTGATTTCAAGTACCAATGATAAGTTTAAAGTGTTTGACAAAAGTGATTATGATTATGATTTTGTGATTATTTGGGGTCAAAAAATTTAGATTTAGAGATGCTTATCCCTAACTTTATGCACTTACTTATCGTTAACATGTTTCTTCTAACCCCTTAAAATTAATACATGTTCAAATTATAAACTATATCATCACTTATCGTTTACATTACAACTGCATATACATGCTTTTTCATTTTATATATTTCTTATGAAATATCAGAACTAATGGTTGATATATCCCACACTTCATTTGTCTACTCGTAAAGTTGCTTTAGAGGGTATCGCCATGAACACGAATCAGTCTCTGTTAGGTCAGTTACTGATGCACGCCCACAAGGTGTTCGACATAATGTCTATATTAGGTTTTCACCCAGATGAGACCACTTTTGGCTACCAAGCCTATCGATATGCACCAAAATGACTCGAGAACAAGATAATTGAACTACAAGTGTCGGGTTGACCGCAAACCCAATAGTCAACTTTTCTGGTGTGGTGGGGACCAATGTTGGCTCAAGAACCGATGTTTCATTTGACACCAAAACTGGAAATTTCACCAAATACAATGTTGGAATTAGCTTCTCTAATCCAAATCTTATTGTTGCTTTCACCCTGTGAGCTCTTTATTTTGTTATATAAAAAATTAATCTTTTAAAGTAATTATGTTGGAGATTAATTAATTAAATATTGCAACAGGAATGACAAGGGGGAGTCACCGACTGCATTATACTACCACATTGTTAAGCCGTTGACCAACACAACTGTAAGTGCATTATACTACCATGTAAGCCCTTTGTAACTTTTGTTGCAAATCCTTTATTCAGTGATCTTTTCATGTTAAAAGGTAAAAGCCTCATGCCAGTTTAACATGAAACTTTCTGAAAAGATGAGGTTTATTTAACTTATTGGTTTTTTAGTTGTGCATATACTTGTAGCTTTTGTTGAAAAAAGCAATACCGTTGTGCTTCCCTTCTTGTTGCCATCGATGGTTGTTATGTGAATCTTTGTTGGGTACTTGCAGCTCGGTAAGTCCATATGCTTTCCTAAAAACTTTTCATCCTTTTCTAGTTCTTACAATGAGTAATATCCTTAATAGGTTCCAGAAATACTAAAATTGTGTTTTGTGTATGTAGGTTTGTTGTTGTGATCCAAACACCATGGTCCAGTCCTTGTGATTGCCCTCAACATTGCATTCTTACAAGCAATAGTCCCACACTTGGCTTAAATCTAATTGGAGAAGGAACAAAATCCCAATTCCGGATTGCTAGGGCCCACTTTTGTAGGTAGGTAATCATAATCATATAGTTTGTTTTGTTGGTAAACAATGAGTTGTAATAATATTTGTAGTTCCTATGTCTTGGAAATAGGAAGTGATCTGGTGTACTCAATTGAACACCTTCGCGAAGAGAATGATGCGGTTATTTTAGCAGTGGGGGCAACAAAGCCATGAGACCTCCTTGTTCCTAGACGTGAGCTCTCAGGTGTGCATTTTGCAATGGAATTTCTATATGCAAATACTAAAAGCTTATTGGATAGAAATCTTGAAGATGGAAACTATATGAGAGGAGCCAAATGTAGCGCATTATACTCATTTATTTTCTAACTATAACAATATACTTCCATTTTGTTAATAACAATGTATAATCGGATCCCCTTAGTCGTTCGAACGATTATTTGTATGGCATTAAATTTATGTAATGGATTCTATTTTTTGTATATGATATTTTGTTTTCTATTATGAAACATTAAATACAAATTTAATTTGAAAATAAGTAAATCCATAAATAATTTTTTTTTAACATTTACAATTATGATATGCAAAAATGTGTGTCATCTTCATTTATGACATGGCCTTTCTTGACAGGGGCTTTCTTGATACGCAATGTGTGTCATTAACACGCACATCGTAAGGTTACGACACATGAATGCGTGTCGTCTTTCTTTATGACAGGGCCTTTCTTGATACACATTGCGTGTCGTAATTGCGCGTCGTAAATGAGCGTCGTAAATGCGCGTCGTCTATAGACGATGTGCAAAAGCATATCGTCTCTCTTTATGATAGGGCCTTCCTTGACGTGCATTTGCGCGTCGTCTGAGCCTTTTACAACGCGCAATGAGCATCGTAAAAGGCTGTTTTTCTAGTAGTGACATGACGCCCTCCGCCCCCAAATGTTTCCGCCGTTCCAGTTTGGGGGTGTGACAGAATGTTCTGAACCCCTCGTCGCTTTGAATTTGACATTTACAAAACCGCAATTAGCAATGGGTCTGATGACTTTGATTGTTGTGATTTTCTGGGCACTCTAGGTTAAGTCTAGCGGTTTACCAAAAGCGAGATAAAAATCAGTAAGTCCTTTATCTACTTTGGTATCTAGAGAGGGAACTTCTACTATGGTTTGGATGTCATAAAATCTTTGTACTTGCATCCACATCCGTCATTTCATTCATTCTGATTGGTTCATCTAACTATCGGTGGGTTGGCTTGACCAATAGCCCCACTGTAGTTTCCTCCTTCTAACTATCCATCATTCAGCTCGAGCTGTTCAATAGGCATCGAAAGTTCCTCTTGATTCTCTTGATTCGTTTGTACTCTGTCCATTGTGATTGGCTTAGGTGCAGCTTCTATTATAGGCACCTGGTCCATCACTTGGGGTTGAGGTTGCTGATTTCTGTTTTCATTTCCAGCTCCACTTTGGGTTTTTTCCATAGTCATCTATACACCAAATTAGGCGAATTTAGATTTTGATTCACGATATATTTTTAAATTATTCTTATCGCTTCGAAACGTTATATGCTAGTTCTAATATCGTAATCATACACTTACAAAATCCAGAACACATAAGGTTTGCAGATCCGGTCGGCAATAGACCATAGATCCGAACAAATAATGGCATATATGACAAACATATAACATTTAGCACATAAAAGAATTTTAGGCATATTTCCTAAAATATACTAGTGCTCGTGTCTTAAAATGTGGTAGACACTCATCTCATGATCATCACTTAGCATTCTAAGTTTAAGTCTATCCTACAAATTCCTATCTCTCTTAAACTAATGCTTTGATACCAACTGTGATATCCCCAAATTTCTCGGCCAGAAAAGACCGATTTAGTTTATGCTTTTAAAATAAAATCAGAGTAATCTCTCCGATAAAAATATTCGGAATTGGTCCTAAAACAAAATATGATAAAAATTTATCAAAGCATTTCTTAAAGAAATGTATTTTCCATTTCATTACAAAACTTGGGATGTCCACATCGATACAAACCAAAAGCATAAATAGTATATTATAGACCTTACAACAGATATTTACATCTAATGACCTATAATCCAAAATTCCTACTTCATCATCCAACTATGCTCTGGGTCCACTTACGATAATATAAAAAGCTGAATGGGTTAGGCTTGAGAGCCTAGTGAGCATATAGGGTTTTCAACCCACAATATTAAAGTTATTATGCTTTATCATCAAACAATTAACCCAATTACTCATCCTCATTATTTTCTTTTTTTTCTAAAGTATTTACTCTAAGAATCATCTATCACTCCTTCATTGACACTATTATTTTTTAGATTCCATTCGCAATACATGTCAATGGGTTTTTAGAGTACATCTGATGAACATATTGTTCACACACTTGTAGGCTGCGAGCCTGCTAGTGTTCCACGGACTGTCAAGAATAGTTCATGGTTGTCATCCATACTCTGCTAGATGATGGGGTCATCGCTTCGCTCATCACATCTCACCATATTTACCACTCATATATCTTTAATCTACCCATCTTTTACACATCAAAATTATAGGTATAAAATACATATACAGTTTAAGACAAATAAAACATGTATATTTTTGTTCATCCAACATATTTGTAGATAAAAATACATATACAATTGAAAACCTGTATAAAACATTCATTCAACATCCATCTCAAATAAACAAACAATATATGTACACATAGCATGTATTTTATAGAAAATATTTCATATATATATATATATATATATATATATATATATATATATATATATATATATGTGTGTGTGTGTGTAAGATGAAAGTGACCACACACTAATCTGATAAGATGGCAATTGGACAACACTTCGTCCCTTAAAACAACCTTTTTCGATAAAATCGATATGTTTTCTCGAAAACCGAGCTTCACATGGATAGAGTTTCAGCTCGAAAAACTATTTTCTTGGGATCTTCGGGCTCTCTGGGGCTTGCTTACGATGCTAGGATGATATTCTAGGCTTGGGGGTATATAGTGTATGTAAAAAGAAACTAGAAGGTGAAAAAGAACAAAATTTGTAACCATTTTCGGGGCAACCTCACATCCTATTTATAGGGGACCGAAGCTCCTCATTACAGTGGACGTAATTCTAGGTACGCGGGGAGTACTGCCTCGCAAATCTCTTAGTTGGGTGTAACTTCGTACGTTGAGGGTACGAAGTGGATCAGCTCAGACGCGTCAAGGCTACGATACATGTCTCTCATGCGAAGGAGTAGGGGGTGGCAGACTCTGGGTCACTTACACGAGTACTTTGGGCGTACTCCTTCGGACTAGCCTCAAAGTTTGTGCCCAAAACTTAAAAAATCGTAACTTTCGCATACGAACACC